TGTAGAGCAAACATTTTTCTACAAAATTAGATGTTTTACAGCTCTGAGAGAATCGTGATAACTGATTTATAGCAATTCTCCCGGATGCCCCAAAAGGTCTTCCGGCCAGACTGATCATCGCCATATTAGTGTCAAATCATGTGAGAGATTGATGCAATTGAGTAGGACCAGTTTTTATTGAATTTCCAATCGATGTACTGTATCCTTATCATCTCGTTTTACGTGAAATTGGCACTAAAAAAAATCCAACAACATTTGCTGACAAATTTGCTAACTTGTAAGCGCTTGCGTTCTTTTTTATTTTGTGCACTAAAGTTTTGTGTTTGTTTCAGCTATTTATCCACTTACATTCGTGGTACATTTGCCGGTACTTTCTAACTTTTAATTAGTTGAATTTGTTTCGAAAATTATTTCAACTTTCTTCTAAGGTGCGTTTGACAAACAACTTATGTCACCAATTGCTCCTGATATACCCTATGCTTCTACAGATTCAAGTACGTGTATCATCTCAGAAAAAAGATCTGTTGTTTTTAAATTTTTCTGTGTTTTATCTTTGATTATTTTTTTAGTTCAACGTGCTGCTCGTTTGATTGAAGTAGCAAAACAGCCTCTTGTTTTATTAGGCAGCCAAAGTACGCTACCACCCACATCAACAACTCAACTCGTTGAAGCACTTGAAGTATGCAGTATATCTAACTATTGAAATTTAATATAAATAAAAAATTATTTTAGGCAATGGGTATACCCTGTTTTTTGGGAGGGATGGCAAGAGGTCTACTAGGAAGAGATAATCCAATTCAAATGCGTCATTGTCGAAAAGAAGCATTGAAGGAAGCCGATGTTGTTATACTAGCTGGTAAGATTGATAAGCTGTATTGGATTCAATCATTTTCGCTTCTTCTGTTAGGCACCGTTTGTGATTTTCGCTTGGGCTATGGTAAAATTCTATCGAGAAGATCTAAAATTATTATTGTTAATCGAAATAAATCAAATTTATATCAAGTACTATTCTAAAGGAAGCTTACCTTGATGAGATTGTTTTGTAATTTACTGACTATTGTTTTTAGAATAGCGATATTTTTTGGAAACCGAGCCTACCCGTTCATGGAGATCCAGCAAATTTTATTTTACAATTACGAAAAATATTGCCATCATCATATAAATGTTCAAACACCTGGGTAGAAAGTTTAAGAGAAAAAGAGAATGTGAAGGAGCAAAGTAACAAGTAAATAAAAGTCTATTTCATTATTTTTGTTCTCTAAAACTTTTCCGTTCTGTTTTATTTTTAGAATTAAATCTTTAGAATCAACAGAAATGCACTTAAATCCCTTGAGTGTGTTACAAACATTAGAAGAACATCTTCCTGACAATGCTATTCTTGTAGCAGATGGAGGTGATTTTGTGGCCACTGGAGCCTATGTTTTAAGGTAGCTTCGTTCAATATTAGATTTTATTTTTGAAAGTAAATAGTTGGTGTTTTAGACCGCGCTCGCCTCGCTCATGGCTTGATCCGGGAGCATTTGGTACTTTGGGAGTTGGAGGTGGCTTTGCTTTAGGCGCAAAGATTGTTCGCCCTGAATGTGAAGTATGGATTGTGTATGGAGACGGTTCGTGCGGGTACAGTCTGATGGAATATGACACATTTTTGAGACATAAGGTAAATGAATTACATTTTTTCAGTGAGTTTTATTTTTGATTACAAAGAACAAAAAAATTAACGCGTAAGGTTAAACTGTCGAGACTTCTAAGTGAAACTGAACAATTAGTAAAGAAGAAATGACTGGTTATTAACTAGTTTCTGGGAACTTATTATCGCCCAGAATATATTTACAACGAGACTGGATAGTGGTGTTTTGTCTTCGCTCTATGGAAGAAAGTAATCTATTTTTCTTTAGACTCCCATAATCTCAATTGTTGGTAATGATGCTTGTTGGAATCAAATAGCTCGTGATCAAGTGCCATTATTGGGCTCAATCGTTGGTTGTACATTAGAGTTTACAGACTATCACAAAGTTGTTGAGAGTTTAGGTGGCGTTGGTTTCAAAATTGATCGTACAAATGTTGATCAGATAAAAAGTATTTATGAACAAGCATCAGATTTGAATCTTCATGGACAAAGTGTACTAATAAATGTTCTAATTGGAAAAACAAATTTTCGTGATGGTAGTATATCTGTTTGAATATTTTATACAAAAAAAGACTATTAACAGACGATTGTTTGCTGTTTGCCATGAATAATTTTACTAAAATAAAAATAAAAAAAAATAAAGTTGATCACTATAGCAAAAAGACAACAATGGTAGACTTAACTGTGCATTGCAGAAACGAGAATGATTTCCAGTAACACGATACTGTAATTGTTTATTTAATCGTAAGAGAATTTCTGGTGACCAGTGGTTTACTTTTACTCGTTCACGTCGCATAAGAGGCTCTGCAAAGTATAAAATTAAATAAGAATGATGTAAAAATATGTCTTTACAAAATAGAGTAAACAGATTTACTTGGTATTGATGGTCTGATATAATTTGGTAATAATTCTTGAATATGATCTTCTTGTCTCAATTCATACTTTAATTTCTATAATCAACGTAAACATTCAATGTATTTCAATTTGAATGTGAAAAAAAGAAGTGGTTTGTTATACGCACTGATAATAGAGATTCACATTGGAGATTTTTTATAAAATTATCTACTTGATCTATATTAGATAATAGTGGTTTCGCTGTATTATTAGTAGTTTTTTTATGTGTAACCACACATGATGTTGTCGACATTGGTACTGATGTATCAAATGATATTGTTTTTATACCACTAGTTGCCGATGCTGAAAAAGAATAAATTCGAATCTAGGACTTTAACTACATAGTTCATTTAAAACATATTTAATACTTGTTCTATTAATAGATGAATTGTTACTTTTCTTTGAATACATTGAGTAGCTGGATATTGGTCTATTGACATTGTAAGAATCTTGTAATTAAGACATTTTATAAATTAAAATTTTTTTAGAAATGAAGAAAAACTTACTTGTGGAAGAATATCCGCTTCTCGCTCGTGACAATTTTAGAGATGAACGACTCTCCACTAGTTGATTTTGTAATTGTTTTTGTACTTCATTCGCATTTTGAATCTATTAAAGAGGAAAATTGATATATGAAACAATAAATTCAAAATATCCATAGTTTACTGCGTGTTTATTTTACTTACTCGATGTTTACGAATGACAATTGCCGGCCACACAGCATTCTCATTCATTTTATCTTGAAATTGAATTTCATTAAAATTCCAGTTTCTTTCTTCATGAAGATACAATTCATCTAATTGACGTAACATGTATTGTTCGTCTGTACATGGATCTTGACTATTCAACTATTCATAATATTTCTAGAGGTATTAATCGTTTAATAACATCGTTCGTACTTACTTTGTAGCACTCATTCGACTCCTTTTCGAGAATACCGGCCGTTTGTGGACGAGAAAATTTTACTTTTGTTATTGGTTGACTACTACAACAAAGATTAATAAAAGTTAGCGTTATAGTTGTCTAATCAGCTAAAACTGTTTACCTTAGTACAATATCGATATAATCATATAAATGCAGTTTACCTGGTTCATGTAATAACGGTGAAATGTGTCTCAGACGATGTTTTAATTTTAATGGACTTATCGATCGATCACAAAACTATAGCTAACAACTAGAAATTAATGGGTACATGTCCTATTAACAATTCTATTTGATCATTACTTGAATTGATCGTAAAATTGCGCTATGATCATGTTTAAGATTATATGTACAACACATTTCATATATTTCATATGCCATTCGAATTTTTTTCAATTCGCCAAAACTAAATTATAACTATTTATTTGATATTTGTTATTGACCAAATTTATATACAAATAACGGGTTTGACAGAGAAAATGACGCCACTTTGTAAAATTTTTTCTCAAGTTAAATTTGATCAGAAAATTTCATTTTTATGTTAACAAGATGGAGAATTATGTCTAGATTTTATTCATATGTTGTTCTAAAAATCTTTGACCGACGAGGTGGCACTTTATTTTGGAGACTTCCTCAAAGTCTTGACTTATAAAAATTATTGTTTTTATATCAAAAGATATAGAATTTCAAGCTCTACAAAGCGCACTTCTTTTCTATGGGTTGCACCGTTTTAGTAAAGGATAACAGAGTTGAGATACCTTCCTTTGGAGGCAATGGTACCAAACATAAATAGTGACCCAATTATTGTAGCCTGCTTTTACGGCTCTAAAACTTTGTCCAAAAATATGGTTTTGAGCCACAGCAATTAAGAATTTATTGTAGTTTTTAATACTGTGTTTGAATTGCGCGAGCAAAACTTCTATTAAAATATAAATCTTTTCTTTTTCAATCAAGTGGTGGACAGTTGAAATTTTTGAGACTTCCGATATTTTGAATACAGTGAAAAGACGATTAAGATACATCTTAATCTAAACACAATACTAGAAACTAGAGAAAAATCTGCGTCTGTTAAGCTCAGAACGAAGTTTTGGAAATTGATATGACTAGCCAAAGGATGAGTTACAAAAATGGCGTCATTTTTTTCTACTCAACCCGTTACCTAAATAATTTTGCATCAATCATTTTTATGGCTTTTGCCAATACAAGACTATTATATGTTCCGGATCGTGAGTCATAATGTTCATGCAAATCATAGGCAAATATTCCTCGTTCAACAAAATTTAATAATTCTGTTGTTGTAATACTGGTATTCACTTCATGCTGTGATAAACGTCTTTCTATTGCACGCTCAGAAAACTACAATAAACTAATATCAGTGTTTTTACAACGAAAATAATAACGAATATAACTTACTCCGAGTGCATGTGAAAGCATTCTGAACGAAAATAAAAAAATGAAAAACAAATATATTTTTATCCGATCTACCCAGTAGACAAAATATATACCTGAGATCTTGCATATTGAATGAACCATTTACATTATTGTAATTATATTCCATTATAATATTTATATAATACAGTAAGTATTTCTAACACCTGGACGTAAATAAAAATTTGCTCAAATTTTTATTAAATATAAAAAAATTTCAGCAAGTTTTTATTAAATTCGTCGCTATTATAAGCTACAACCTCTATGATCTAAGTATTTTTACTCAATTTTTCTTCATTGTATGTTTGGCAACATAGTGCGATAATTAAGAAGTCGTTTAAATAACAGTAGATTGTTATTTTTTTAAAATGAGGTATTTTTACTTTATTTCTTCTGTTTTTATTTTGAAAAAAAAAAAATTTTTTTTTCTTGTTCACTTTTTTTTCCTTAACAATCATTCGTTTGAAATTTGATCTTCAAATAGTTAGTAACCATTTCATCGTTGACAACAATTTGAATGCTGAAAAAGAAAGTTTTTTCTAAAAACTCTCAATTATTTGAAAATGGTATCTGATGAGAATGCATCAATCGTTAAGGTGAGAACCACTTATTATTTCACTTCATTATCAATAGTATGATATTTACTCATTTTCACCTTTTACTCGATTTCCATATTATATATTAAAGTAAAAATCTTTTATGGATAAAAACAATGATTAAATTATTAAATATAGCGAAAAATGTGCCATCTGAAAAAATGTATAACAATAGAATAGGAATATCGTAAAAGCAAAACATTAACATCAGCTCAACTGATTTTTATATTTTGAATAATTCTGAGTATATGACTCAACATTCTAATATAATAATAACGTATATAAAACATCTAATTATCACTATAGTTATAAAATGTTGTTCCAATATTTTCATTAAAATTTTTTGGTAATGTCCATCCTGCTGGTAGAATACTCGCTCTGTTCCAATAATCGGAATAACTATCTAAACATTTACTACTACCAGAAAATCGACTTTCATCAGAATTTTGTCTTGAATCTCGCGAGTGTAATAAAGTACATCTCTTTTTTAATAAATACATAATAATAACAAGACAAATAATTAAAAGACAAACTGAGATTCCAATGCCGATCATCAGGAAATTATATGAACTACCATTTTTATGTAAAATCGATGATAATGTGGAGGGAGATAATAATAGAACACGATTGGAATGAACTGAGTTATTATCGATATCATTTATATCCGGCCTCAATTGATCGATAAAACAGCATTCTTTTTTACTTCCGGATTGACAACATACACGTGACCGTCCGTTAATTGGCAGACAATCGAAACCATTATTCCAAATACCGTACTGATCAAGTTGACCGGGACAAGCCATAATTTCTAAAATAAATCAGAAAGAAACGTGTGTAAACATAGTCATCATACAGGATCAGTTTCAGACCTACATGTTTATCAGAGATATATGGATGAATGTATTTTGTACTTTGACAAATATTGAATATTGCTGTTACCTTTTGTTAAAATTCAAATGCTCTTCATATTTATTGAATAGATGATTCCCTTTTGTTACTGTTAGTAATGATAACAAAAGTTAAAAAAGTATCAAACGAATCAAATTGATAGTTCGTCTATCATTAGAAAAATAACTGCAAGTGTGTAGTGTAAGAGAGACAGGTAGAAAATGTTCAAAAATTTTTTTGTCTCATTAGACAAACATGACTGGTGGCGATTTATAGATTATTGTATATGTACGTTGGACGCTAATTTGTCTTCTATCTTTAACTAAGTATCTGTGTACGAGAGAAAAGAGAAATAGATAAGTCTTTTTTTTGCTTCATCTGTTCTATGCCAACATATCAATAATATGTATACCATCAAAAATTCTACTACGATTTTTTTCTTTTCACATATATATAGTTATGTATCGTTTTAAAAAAGGCATGTAGATTTCATAGATCTTTTATTATTTTTCATAATGCGATTTATTCAACACACACATATCTTACCAGGGATTTCCTTGACAAACTCATGAATATATTCCATTCGTTTCATACGATATCGTTAGGTATATTGGGTGACTAAACAACATCTATTTCTACTCTAATGGTTTTTCAAATAAAACAGACGAATTAAACTATATATAAAAATAACATACGCCAGTCTCATCTTCCGAAATAACTGTTCAGACTAAACATGTATCGAAAATTCATACTCATACATGTTATTCAAATTGATCGCTTCGGACTACAGAAAAACATATATTGCAAATAGATATCTCCATGCATTAGACTTTTATTCACATAAGGAATACTATAGTAATAGATATAGGTCAGTCGAATTAAAAACATTCTTTGTTACTACGTCGTACTCTATTCTGAGGTGAAAACGTGAACATCTACAGAATGAGACAAACTTCAATAGTGCTTGCAGAAATACAGATTGTTAGTTACTGATTTTTTATTTGTTGTCACCTTAAAGTTAACTCTTTCCCGCCCTATAGCTTCTATAGGGACCATTTTATAAAAATTTAGTTCACTTGAACTAGCGAATGTCTCTCAACACTAAGCGTTCTTTATCTCATAGGGTACAGTCTATGACAAACGTCTCAACCTCTGTCCTATCCTACCCTATAAAAATGTTTCCTTAACCTACCCTACCCTAATAGGACAGGGTAGGGTATGATCATCCTGCACACCTCTGTTGTCCTTCAGAACCGTCAGGTTTAGCCAAAGTCAAGAAAGGGTTAAATTGAGAATTATTCTATATTATTTTTTTTCTTCCTCAACTTCTGGACGCTACTTGTATTAGAGAAAGACAGAATTTCTATTATAATGCATATTCAAACAAATAATATATTTGCACCTTTATCAAAGTATTGTTTAACATTCTTTCTGTCGATCTCTGCCTTTATAATTAATGCGATTTATTTGGCTGTTGCACACACATGCACGTTCAGTCTCTTCAGATACAATGCCTGTAATAGTAATAATAATAACAGAAATAGTAATTATGCGTAATTGCCTTCGGCTTGATTGTTAGAATCAATTGAACAGTCAGTATTAATTGCTGAAGTTCTATTGCGACTTCTTATTTATATTGATAGGAATAAGACATTTGAATATTGTAAAAAAATGTTATTGAATACTGTGAGAGGCATGAATGGTGGTATGGTATCTTCATGCAATAAATGACGCACAACTGCAGTTTGTCTTTCTTTCTCGTTTTCATTCAATAAATGATGCAACAGCAGATAGTTGCTCGTTAAACAAGAAGTTAATGATGTGAAGGTTTATCAACAGTTACTAGACAGTAACACTACCATTGTGGTGGAGGTTAGTCAGGAGGCTAATACAACTAGACTAATGAAACATTATTTTACATTGAGATATCTTGCACATACATTCATACATGAAATATCTTTGACCTATTTTATGATTTATCAGCTTAGCAGTTAAATTTTTTAATTGTACATATTTTATCGTATATATTTTTAATAATATGTTTATGTTGAAGAAACGAATGATTCAATGATCTATTTAATTCAGTGTAATCGTTTTTTCGCTATCTATCTAACATTCTCATTTTGTTCTATGTGATATGATCGAAATTAGTGATGCTGTGTTAGATTGTGAACATTGATGAGCATAATTTTTATTAATCATACATCAGAATTTGTGTATTTTATTATTATCACTATCCATGTTATTATTCAGATATTGTTTCATAAGCGCCCATCGCCTAATAGATGTATATAAACACAAATCATCATCTGATGATAATAATAATGATTTGAGAGAAGTGTGTTGAAAAATATGTGAAGTAAAGAAGTTTGTTTTTGATGACTATCACTTCGTTGAACACACACATACACATGCATACACATCTGAAACGATGTACTTCACAGATAGATAGATAAGATCAAGATTCATTACAGCTATATAATTAACAAAAATCTGATAAAATTACGCTAGGGAAAATAAGAATGGAAGAATTTTATTGATAAGAAAAATGAACAATTAAAGACCTGTAAGAACTCACTGAAGATTGTCTAATCTTTTCAAAATGTGCTCATGAAACTCGTCGAAGACTGGAAAAAGAATGAAGTCAAGCGCTAGATTTGTTCTAGCTGTTCAATAGTTCTGGGCTTTTTGTATCTCATTTTACTGTTGCCTGTAGGAAAATAGATAGATACTCTGGAATGGCTCAGGATATGTACAACGAAGATGATTGTTAGATAAGCTTTTTTCCGTAAATAACTGAATGTTACATTTGAATATAAATTCTCTGTTATGTGTTAGTTGCCGTGTACGCCGCTTATTTAAGCTTTTAATTATGTCTGAGTTGTGTTGACTCTCTTTTATTTAAAGTTACGTTTCTGTTTGAAATATATAGTTTTTCTCAAAACACAGGCTACCAGGAATAAGTTAAAAGTGATAAAGAGTTTGTATTCTCAGGATAGATGAAGAAGTATTTGGGTACCGTTTCTTTTGTGTTTCAACTCTTTATCTATCAGCCTTCCCGAGATTTTGAGAAAACTCGATTTTTCATTGACATTCATTATAGCCTCTCGAAAAACTTATCCGATCGAACTCGCATTTTTACCGGAGCTACTTCAGACCCTATCTAAGAGATGATTTTTTTCGTTTTCGGAAATAATGTTTCTTTCTCAGCGGATACGGAAATATGCGGAAAAACAACGAAAACTCAAGTTTTTTCATTTTTAAAAATCCTATAGAGAATGACACAATATCTTGAAAAAAGAATAGAGTCACCTCTTAGATAGGGTCTGAAGTAGCTTCGGTAAAAATGCAAGTTCGATCGGATAAGTTTTTCGAGAGGCTATAATAAATGTCAAGGAAAAATCAAGTTTTCTCAAAATCTCGGGAAGGCTGATAGATAAAGAGTTGAAACACAAAAGAAAAGGCACCCAAAGGCTTTTTCATCTATCCTGAGAATACAAATTCTTTATCACTTTTAATTTATTCTGGCAGCAATTTTATAAAGAGCCAAAAATGGAGGGTGAGAGATCTCGATGAGTTTTTTAGCGACATGTAAATAGCTGATTGGAATCACTTCAGTCTACTCTATTTTTCATTCTTTACGAATGGACATTTGTTTATTTACTAGCATTGAAAAATATTTACTGTGTTTTTTGTCCGCGTGTAATGGTCGATTTGAAATAGCCAATCTAAAAGGATGTATTATAAATGGATGGTTTTAATTGATTAGTGGTAACTCTCGCAAGATAGAAAATAGTCCTCTTGAACAGTGACCTATTAGATCAGTTCTAGGTGAAAGCTATGAAAGAATCGTACTTAAATATTACTCATTTCATTTCCCGATATTTTTTGAGACTTGAATTTAAGCAATACTAATCAGAAATCGTCACGGGCCGGGTCGGACCAGACTTACGTTTCTGAATCTTGTTTGTGGGCCGGACCGAAATTGGGCTGCAATTTGATGGCCCGCCTGTGAGTCCAGTCTTTTCCTCAAAAAGTCGATAAAATTACAAGACAACATCGAAAGGCAACACTCATATTAAATGTGAGAAAAGACACTACCTTCTCCTGAAAATGGAATGCGAAAATTCTATGGGCTATCCCGCGGGGCGGTCCGTAGTATGTAGCCTGTACGAGCCGCTCCGCGTTCACTTCGGACGGGGCCAGGCCAAGGTGTAAAAACGTAGCTTGGGATGATCTCTGATACTAATATACTTTTCTTCTTCATACGCATATTAAATAAATTGGAGTGAAGTGACTTTTTTTTGTCTTTCTTTTATTCAGACGACTAATAAATTATGTTCATAGACTATTGAAGTGGCTGTATACCAATTACTAAATAGATAGATACTGATGACTGCAGACCATTTGTTTCTCAAAGGATGTCAAACTTAAAACATGAACATTCTTTTTTCATTTGATTAAATAATGAAGAAGGCAATCGTTGAATTAAACAAGTTATTTTTCTTCATAACAGATTCATCGTTACAGACAATTTCAATTAGAAATAAAAGGTTTCACAACTCTTTTATGCTGTAGAAAAAAAAAGAATTATCCACAAATTGACAATATCTCTTTCTAAATCTGTAGAAACACAACTTAATTCTAGAAATTATCTTGACATTTCGAATAATTGATCGAATAAACTTACCTTGTTCACTTGTTGTTTATCAAGAACAAATCATCATGATATACAAAATTCTGAAGAGAAAGCATATTTTTGAATCTCAGATTTGTATATTTTATTAGCACAATTATACTTTGTATAGAGTCTATACAAAGTATAATTGTGCTAATAAAATATACATACATCTTCTCCAAAAGGATCAAAATGACCATTTAAACGAATTGTTGCATCTTTACATGATCTGTAAAAATATAAAACAAAAGAAAATGATCTTCTCTCTGTTATCAGAATATATGTTATTGATCGTTAATACAATATATCTATTTAGCATATTGAATGAATGACTACTTGTTTCTCTACAATTTAGATGCGACAAATCTGTTAGGTTCATGAGATAAAATAATGAAATTAGTAGAAAAAAATAACAATTAGTAGAAATTTTCGTTGAAACTCATTGATTGAGCAAGTTATTTTTTGAAGATAAAAAAATAGATTCTCAAGAATTGGTTACAGACAACAGTCGTTATTCTCAAATCATAATAATACATATCCTTTATCTTAATTATGTTACACAGCATTCAATAAAACAACCCACGCATCCATTGTCTATATCAAGATTGTCAACGAATTATTTAGAAAATCAATTCAGCAAATAATAGATTGTTAATTCACAACAAATTAATCTCGTCAATTACACGGCACATACTTAAATAAAATAACATATTCTATTTTAAATTAGAGAAAGACAAAACTAATTTTTTATTTGAAACTTTCTAAAGATTATTGAAAAAATAGTAATTGGTCTGATGTATTCTGTCTAATCGTCTGGTATTATTTGTAATTTCTTTAGTTGCTGTAAATTTCTGTTATTGATTGACGAATAATCAGTATTCAAATTTCTTCCATATCTTGTATTTCCAAACCGTTTATCTCTTAGTAAATCGAAATCAAATAAATTGTTGTATGATGTTCTTCTATTAACATTTAATTTAGAATGTGGTATAAATGGGATTGATTCATATCGTTTTTCCATTCCAGATATTTGGGGTATTATAAAACATTCAATATTAATTAATAAATATAATGTTAGATAAGTTATAAATAGACTTGCAGATTTAAACATGTCTTTCTATTGATTAATCTCGAAACTAAAAAACAAAGTTATTCAGCATAAAACGCTTATCTTCAATAAACAGTTTGTAAACTACAAATAATATCAAATCTATAGATTTATTAACGAATTTTCCTTCAGTTATGAAATCTTTAAGTATATTAAAACTCGGACATGTAAAAATGTTCGTGGATAATTTAGTTTATGTGGAACACTTCTTCAATTTCTATAACAGTTCAATAGATATCCAATGATACAGCACTTTATTTTCAAAATGGAGCTAGAATGTGACGTCATTATTAAACTGTATTATGGCATACTACTAGTATAAAAACTAAAAAATTAAGTGTTTTATCAGTATTTAATAACAAAGTAATTCTTTTTCTAAAATTTCAGTAAATGTGCGTGAGTTGAGCACTTATAACGTCATGTCAAAACCTTTTTCAAATATTACTACAACCACTTTTAACCACGATATTACCGTTTCAGATAAAAAAAACAACAGTGCAGATAATTTACAATAAGGCTTGATGTATGAGATACATTTCACACTACTAATAGAAATCTAAACAGTTTTGCAAATTATCCTATTTTGCTTATAAAACGGTAAGAAAATCAGAAATGAGATTCACTACTAGAGAATCGATTGTGCTCAAGTATGTTATTGTCATCATCCTATCTATAGTTTGCGATAAAACTCAGCTAACAAATGAATTAGAATAAATAAGTAATCAATCTCGACTGTACTAACGGTAAAATTCTGAAGGTGTAGGAGAATCCCTTAAAATATATCCATTTGGGTTTAACTTTAACTACAACCTTGGAATGGAGATCGCATACAAGTAACCTTTATATCAGTTTGTCACATATTGTAGAATCGATGAAGTTTTTGAGTAGACAGGTTTCTCGACAAACTCTTGAATCTGTGTATTACACCTACGTGTTGAGTATTCTCAACTATGGAATCGTTATTTATGGCGTACTGAGTTACGTAATATCTATCGCCTGAGCCAAATTCAATATCAGGCCGCTTTAGCTGTCTCTGGTGTTATGAGGAGCACATCACATGTGAAACTTCTTAAAGACCTGGGGTGGTTATCAATTAATGAGCTTATTCATCTTCGACGCATGTGTTTGTATCATAAAATCATACACAATAAAACTGCTACTTATCTTATTGCACTTCTTCCTGTGCCGGGACTCCAGGTTTACCAAACCCGAAGTCTGAGTCGAGGAGGCATCGCGTCGAGTTTAAGAGGTCGGGCTCTATTGGAAAAATCCTTTATTCCGGACGGCATTCATGCATGGAATCTTCTACCTAATGATATATGTTCAATACATAAATTGAACTCAGATTAGTCTTACAATATATTCCGTCCTTTCGTTTACCGTTAATGCATGATCGGCGGTTGGAAATACATCACACGCGATGTAGAGTTGGTAGTATCCAACTAAATGACTATCTCTTCAGCAGAAGTGGATTAGAAAGGTTACCGGCGTGTACATATGGCTTTAGCAGAGAGAATACTAAACACTTTTTCATGGACTGTGCTCTTTATAAAAAGTCTCGTAATCTAATGTTTGAGGAGCTGTGTATTGTCCCTAAAGATAATCATATTACATTAGACCATATACTTTTGAAACATGAATCTACCCGAGTATTGCCTAAGCAGGACCTAATATAGAATGGGGTATCCCGATTTGCCATAAATGTGTTTCTTTTCTTGTTGTCGTACTTTTTTTACTATTATTTCGTGAATAAAAATGTTTAAAAAAAGAAAAAAAAAGAATCCCTTGCTAGGTAGACAACCGATAGACAAAGCAGGTATTTACAACATTACATACACAACGATAAATCTCAGTCGAAACAGAAGCATGATCTTACTTCAACGACTGAGCCGAACTTAATTTCATCAGTTTTTTAATAGTTCTGATTATAGTTGTTTCGAAACAATAGATAGATGCCGACTTTTATTTCATAAATTATTGATGAAAATCGAAAGAAATTTTCTTGGCTATACCATCTCAAACACAGAACTAATCATTTCAGATAAGACAACATGGGTCACATAGAACATGATAAGATATATAAGGTACATTATAAACTGCGAATCAACGCTCTTTCGTTTCTGCAAATTATCGTATTTTATTTCTTAGACATGAAAAACCGATAGATCAAAGGAAAGAATGGATGTTCACTTCTATAACATCAGCTGCACTCATCTACTGTGGTAGTACCATCTCATCTGAATCTGTTTTTCAGAAAGACTTTCAAAATAAATAGAACTGCTCTCAGATCGAAAACAACACACACTATATGCACTTAGATATTGTGTAATTCTACCAAAGTTATCCCGTCATCTTAAGGATCAGCTTATTGCACAATCTCCAAGAATCAAAGGTGCTGATTCCGATTATAACAATCATTTTGACTGATAGGTCTTCAGAAACCGGATTTCTGGAAAACCAGTTTTTCAAAATTCCTAAAGAATAGTCAAAACCTTTGTTAATGAAGCAGGATTGTAGCCCGCAGATTTCTGATTAAAATGAGACCTCTCCA